TTTTTATTTTGGGTGCACTGATGCGGCATCAGCCACTTTAGCCACTTCATTCAGAATGAGAACTTGGATTATTAGCAATAAGCAAGTAAGCAGAAGAAAGACTTGATCTTTCTTTGGATTGCCCTGTCTTGTTTGCTATGTTTAGGCATTGTATTGTCTTAACTAGGTTTTCTTGGGGAATTGAGATTGGAGGTACAAGGGCAGGTGCAGTCAGGTTTTGTGTTTTAAGTTAGAGAGAGTGAGTGCAAGGGTGAGATAGAAAGTGAAAGAGGGGGAGGGAGGAAGGAAAGAAGGAAGGGAGGGAGAGCAAAAGAGAGAGAGAGAAAGAAGGAAGGGAGGAAATTATGAAAGTAAGAAACAAAGTGACAAAGTAGGTATTGCCGCGGACCCTCATGCCACTACAATGATTAAATGGGTACCATTATATTCTCTGATTTGTTCTTTATTTTGGTGGGTTTTTTTGTAAAGATGTCGTTTAGTCTTTCCAGCTCTGATCGTCTATTAGTTACCTAAAAACTTACTCTTAAGTTCTGGTGTGTGGTTTTCTCTCCTAGGTGGTTGGTGTTTCTGCTGTGCTGGGCACAGGACTGGATGATTTTTTTGTTCAGCTTTCTAAAGCTGTAGATGAATATGAGAGGTAAGGTGACAACCTTTGGTCCCTGACGCAGTGAATACTTACTCAAGTTACAGAGACTTGTCATCAGCGCCTCTAGGGACAGGACAAGGGACAGCGGTTTTAAACTGAAAGAGGGTAGCTTTAGGTTTGAAATAAGGAAGAAATATTGTGTGATGAGGGTGACAAGACACCAGTGCAGGTTGCCCAGAGAAGCTGTGGGTGCCCTGTGGCTGGAAGTGTTCAAGACCAGATCTGATGGGGTTTTGAGCAAGCCCATCTAGTGAAAGATATCCCTTCCTGTGGGAAAGAAGGTTGGACCAGATGATCTTTGAAGGTCCCTCCTGATCAAAACCATTCCATGAATCTAAGGTGTGCACGTCCACTTTGCCCTTGCTTCATTAAAGAAGTATTTCAAAGTGCCCTAGTGGAATAATTGTATGGAAGTCTGTGACCAGTCTTTCTATATGAGATCCCATCTAACTGTCTTAGGAGGCCCAAGTGTGCTGGCAGAGGACGTTGTGTCTGTGGTTAGAGGAGAGGAGTTGATTTGCTGATTAGGTCTGAAATTACTAGCTCAGTTGAGCTAGGTTAATTTCTCACCCAACGAGACAGTGTGCGAAAGGTTTGCTATTTTAGTGATGTGTGCTGACAAAGAAGTCCTGCCCCTGGCACAGGTTGCCCAGAGCAGCTGTGGCAGCCCCCTGCCTCAAAGTGCCCAAGGCCAGGCTGGATGGGGCTTGGAGCAACTTGGGCTGGTGGGAGGTGTCCCTGCCCAGGGCAGGGGTTTGGAACTAGGTGAGCTTTAAGGTCCCTTCCAAGCCAAACCATTCTGTGATTCCGTGATTCCGTGATTTTGCATCCATTGGTTTTAGAACCCAAATCTGGGTAAAAAAAGTACTGTTAAATCTTTCTGAAATGTCTCTCAAACAAAAGCCTAGGTAAAACTTTTCTGGGGTAGAAACAAGCCCCCGAGATGATCCTTAAGATAAGTCATGTATTAGTTCTGATTGAATGTGCTCTCTTTATTTATTTGTCTTTCCAGAGAATATCGTCCAGAATATGAGCGCCTGAGAAAAACACTGGTAAGTGGTTTTGACTGTTGTATACCTGGGCAGTGTGTCTTGGTGTCACTTTTATGCACACAGTTGCCCCTGTATTCGGAGGATCTGATTCCATTTGCTCATCATACTCCTGTGGAAAAACTTCTGCCCTGAAGCTCACCATCCGTGTTTTTTTCCTAAATTTGATCAAGTGTATTTTAACAAATATAAAGATGTTTTGGAAAACAGATGTTACTCAGTGTTTTAGTGCCAATAATTTATTTAGGCAAATTTTGAGAAAGTGATTGGTAAAAATTTTTATATCTTCCATTCAGAAGGCTAGAGACTTTTTTAAAAAAAACTTTCCAAAGGGACTTGTTGAGAATGTTGCTGTATCTTTCCACACCAGTGAAGTGTACTGTTTTGACTTAGACAATTAATTACAAAGACTGAAGTGCAGTACCAAAATCGGTATCTCTGCTCGCCTTGGCTGTCCAAAGAGCAGTTCTCTGCAGGCACAACTTCACCATTTTGCTTCCTGGTGCCTCTGAAAGTGTTCTGGAAGTCCACCATGCTGGAGGTTCCTTGCTGTGTTTATCCAGAAGTTTATTCAAAACCTTAGCTGTAGTCTAAGACCTGCTTATTTGACATCTGCTTTCTGGCGGGGGACAGGCTGCCAGCATTGCGTGAGATGACTCTTCTACTGATGTGTTAAGTGCAATCAGGGTCCAAATGTCTCTCTGTACCTGCAGGAGAAGGCTCAAGATAAACAGAAGAGAGAGCAGCTGGAACACTTGTGGAAGGACATGGGCAGCGTGTGTGTGCAGGGCAACACACTTACAGGTACCTTACTAGGAAGGAAAAGGCTACTGCAGAAGTTTTCTGAAGTCTGCCTTAAGAAATCAAATAGTACTTTCTTGTCTTCACAGCAAGCAGGGAAGCAGCTGCATGTTAGTAGAGAGGAGTGGATCTTTAGTTCCTGTTGGATGGGTCAGACTTAGGTCTTCTACCTGTCAGTCACAGACTTGAGAAGAAGAAACCCTGCTGTGTAGATAAAGCAGTGGATGGACTAAAAGTAACAAAATACTTTAGAAGAGGTGAAAGCCAAATTAGATATGAGAAAGTTCTGCTCTTGGTTGAGCTCTTGCCTTATATTAGTAGATCTCAGGAATCCAGAAGCATCGTGATGACCCTTTAGAGTAGGTGTTAATTGCTGTGTTTACATGTAAATACAGATTGTCCTGCATGAGCAACTTGTTCTCTTCAAGGGTCTGATGATGCTTCTGCAATGGGTCCCTCTGAGCTGATCCTAACACGAGGAGCTCTTGATGAAGAAGAAGAAGAGAGGGAGAGTGATACTGATGATATTGATCATGAAGGTAAGGGAATAAGGGATGTGATCTGGTCTGAAAGGTGCCTGTCTATTCAGGGAATGCTCCCTGTATTTCATTAACTGGATTGATTCTAAACAAGAGCCTAGAAAACAGGCAGACATTCAGTCATTTGACTATAGCTGTCTAAATCTGTAGCAGAAGCCCAGCCGCAATGCGTTGTCCAGTGATACCGCTCTACCTTCTGTGAAAGTTCAGCTGAAATGTTCTGTTCATCTAATTATTTATAACAGGTGTATAACATGCATAAACCAGAGAACTTTTTGTGCCTGGAGCATGCAATGACCTCTGAGCCTGATTAATGCACAATATTGTTCCACCATCTTTTTGGCCTTACAGTTTCCACCCCCTCTTCCCTTTTTTTCCTGTGACTCTTGGTGTTGGAGCAATCTTTAAAATTCTTACATTGTGTGATTTTTTTTCTTGGATAGCTCATGCAGTCAATCGTCATGCTTTTCCTGTTCCATTGATTATTCTAGCATTTCTTCTTCCTTTTGCCTTGTAGTGAAGTTGAAGATCAGGCTCTGAAACTAGCCTGGCTCTAGTTTTCTTCAGTACCATGAGTAGAAAAAGTGCTGAACTGTGATTTTTATTTTTTAAATGTTTCCCCTCCCGCAGTTACTGAGGAAAGTCATGAGGAACCAGCCTTCAGAAACTTTATGCAAGAGGCACGGATGAAATACCAGAGGAGCAATCCAAACAAATGTGACCTTCAGAAATAGAGGGTTTGGAATCCCTTGTAATGGAGATAAAAGTAAAGGAACAGCATAAACTTGCATGGAACCATGCATGAAGTTTCTTGTCTGAACAGCTTCCTCTGATACATTTACATCTTTATTCCTACAGTAAGTGTTGGTCATATGAGCTGAAGGTCTTGTATTCGACTGACTGCACGTTTGGCCGACTGCCACTGTGACTCCCTGAAGCTGAAGGAACCAGACAACACTTTCTTTTGCTCCAGATTCTTTAGATGTGCCTGTTGAGAGCTTAGATTCTGAGCTCCGATGTTAGCACCTAGACTACTTACTGGTCTCCAGAAGTGTGTTCTGTTCACCTTGTGCAGGCATGTATCTGCTGCAGCCAGGACATCAGTGAAATCTCCACTGTATGAAGCTTCATCAATCTATTGTTTAGTAGTCTGATTTTAATTAAATATATTTTATGTACTATCAAACGTGTGATGAGTAATAGCAGGAGATTTCACTGTTCTAATGTGAGACTTCTTTTCTATGCTTACAGCCCACCCATATAGAATCATAGAATCATGAAGTTTGGAAAGGACCTTTAAGATCATCAAGTCCAACCTACAGCCCCAACCACCGTAACACAAAACCATCTCCTGAAGTGCCACATCCAGCCAGTTTTTAAACATATCCAGGGATGGTGACTCCACCACCTCCCTTGGCAACCCATTCCAATGCTTCACCACCCTTTCGGTGAAGAAGTTTTTCCTAATACCGAATCTAAACTTCCCCTGGCATAGCTTGAACCCATTCCCTCTTGTCCTATCACTGTTCACTAGGGAGAAGACACCCATCATGTTGGATGCACAGCAAATGCATCTTAATTACCTTACACAGATACAATACAGGTGCCTCGTAGGAAAATCCTAGGTAAAGAAAGCTCCCAGGAGGGAAAGTAATAAAAAGAACCTGGCTTGATTTGGCTGAGAACTGAAGTATGCATAGCTGTATACTGGCTGCATAGATCTGTAGGTAAACATAAAACGAAGGCTTTTCTGTAGATGAGTGCTTACACGGAATGTAGACAAGGACTTGGGAGGTTGGCTGATACTTATTTTCCTGGCAGGTGCCACGGGCACAGATGTTCACTTGCTGTTTACCATTCTGAATTCTGGAGTCTTTGTTTTCTTTCACTCTACACAATGCTGTGGGCTCACTAGAGAGATTTATCAGAGGGAATTTGGCAGCAAGTTCTGCCAGCACAGTTTGAAAGAGTTTCTGTGAACTTTGAAAGTGTAGTTGGCAGGAAAGGGAAATTTGTAACCAGTTGTCACCTGTGAGCTCTGATGTGCTTACTGCTTCGTTAATGTAGAGCTTTCCAAGAGTACAGTAATTACAAATCTAGATAAACTAGACTGATCCTAGTAAGAAGTATTATCAGAAGCAAAGCTGAAACAAAGATTTCGTAGCACACCGGTAAGGTTAAAATAATACATTTATTGATAATTGCCGAATGTGTTGGGCTGGAAGAGACCTTTAAAGGTCATCTAGTCCAAACCTCCTGCAGTGAGCAGGGAAGGCCCCCCCTCCAGGAGCCTTCTCTTCTCCAGCCGACCAGCCCCAGCTCCCTCAGCCTGTCCTCGGAGCAGAGGAGCTCCAGCCCCTGAGCATCTTGGTGCCCTCCTCTGGACCTGCTCCAACAGCTCCACGTCCTGCTTGTGCTGAGGGCCCCAGAACTGCAGGGAGGTCTCACCAGAGCAGAGAGGCAGAATCAGCTCTCTTGGCCTGCTGGCCACCCTTCTCTTGATGCAGCCCAGGACACAATCACCTTTCTGGGCTGCGAGTGCACGTTGCTGGCTCATGTCCAGCTTCTCATCCACCAGTACCCCCAAGTCCTCGGCAGGGCTGCTCTCAGTCACTCCATGCCCAGCCTGTGTTGATACTGGGGGATGCCTTGACCCCTGGGCACGACTCTGCATTTGGCCTTGTTGAACCTGAGGAGGGTGACATGAGCCCACTTCTCAAGTTTGTCAGGTTTGCTCTGGATGCTCTCCCATCCCTCAGGTCAACTGCACCACCCAGCTTGGTGTCACCTGCAAACTTGCTGAGGGTGCACTTAATTCCGCTGTCTATGTTACTGACAAAGATGTTGAACAGCCCTCATCCCAGTACAGACCCCTCAGGATGCCAGTTGTCGCTGGTCTCCGTCAAACTGTTCACCACAACTCTGTGGTCCATCCATCACATCCATGTCTCTCTGCTTTGGAGACCAGGAGTCGTGTGGGACAGTGTCAAATGCGAGTCCAGGTAGATGACATCAGTTGCTCTTATCCATCAGTGCTGTATCCCCATTATAACAGATTTTTGCTTCCGCAGATAACATGAGAGTGACATTCCATGTACTGGCAATGTAATGGTAAATGAGAGGTGGTTTGCATAAAGACAGATGCAGACATGTAGTTTCACAGTTTTAACAGCAGTATATTACAACTTCACACTTTAAATTACCACAGCAGAATGTAAGTAACATTAATTGTACATCAGCAGTGATCCAAGTATTCAGGCTACAAAAGACTGAAGATGACAACACAGTAACCAAACTGAAAAAAACCCCACAGCAGCAAAAAATCTCGCAGCTGATGATGTCCTGATGATGCTTCTAGTCTTGACTCATGCCCCTTAAGACCATTAACTCCACCAGTGCGTGACCACTGCAACCCAGGCTGCCTCTGATCTTGACATCCCTGATGAGCTTGCTTGCGTTGGTGACCATCAGGTTTGGTATCACATCCTTCCGGGTAGGGCTGTCTTTCCTGGCTGAAGAAGTTCTGGTCAGGGCACTCCAGGTGCCTCCTGGGTTGCGTATGGCTTGCCATGTTACTTTCCCAGCAGATGTCAGTGTGGTTGTAATCCCCCCGCAGGACGAGAGCCTGCAAGTGCGATGCCTCCTGTAACTGGGGTCAGTCGGCTCCCCGTGATCAGGCAGCCTGTGGTAGACACCAACCAGAAGGTTCCCCTCGTTGCCTTGGCCACCAGTTCCTACCCATAAGCTTTCAAATTGCTCTTGGCTATTCTTTAGGGACAGCTCTTCACACTCTGTCCATTTATTATCAGATAGGGCAAAATCTGTCCCTTCTAAAGCAATTGAGAGCCACACTCCAGCAATAGGCTTCATCCAAACCCCCCAGCCATAGGCTTCATCCCACCAAGTTTCAGTAATGGCCACTGTGCTGTAGCTTTCCAGCAGCATGGTAGCTTCCAACTCCTCCTGTTTGTTGCCCAGGCTGTGTGCATTTTTTTCCCAAAACACTTCTAGTTAGATGAAAAAATCCTTGGGTCCACCTCCAGCATCATGTACTTGTTTTTGTTGCAGAAAACATGGCCACTGTATAAAGAACTACTCAGCAAATGGGGCAAGATTGTGGGGGACTTCTGGTGTTACTGATTTTTTAATTTAAGATCTTTCTCGTGAACTTCCATGCTTATTTTTATGTATTTCAATACCGCTCTATTTTTTTTTTTCCTGTTTTAATTCTTTTTTATGATAGTCCATAGTTTTTAGTATTTTGTATAAAAATGGCCATCCACAGGGTGTGAGGTCCAGTGTAACCTGGGCCCTGGTAAAGCAGGAGCTGAGGGCAGCTCTGGAGCTAGGGGGCCAGGAAGACCAGGACCCATTGCCTGCAGAGGGGCTCATCGCCAGTCCCCAGTTCCCTCTTGTCAGTGATGTCAAAATATCAGACAAAAAGGGTTTAAGAGATAACTCTGGGGGCCTGGACAAAGCCCCACAAGGGCCTCAGCAAGAAGCACCCTCCAGTGCTTCGGGCTGCAACTCGGGCAATAGCTTGGCACCCACCGGAGAGTCATCCTCCAGTCATGCAGTGGAACAGGAGTCCCGGCACCACCTACAACACGCTTCGCCTGCAAGGGGAGCTCTATGATGTGGTCATCAGTGTGGATGGTGTGGAGTTCAACGCCCACAAGATCATCCTCTGTGGCTGCAGTCACTATTTCAGGTCAGTGCCTGAAACGAAAGGGGATGGGGACAAACAGTATTTCGCAGTCTGGCTTGCCCTGTCTGAATGCTGTACCCTCAGCACTAGACCTCTCATCCAGCAGTTCCCCACAGTCCTGGTACCTCTGTAGATGCCAGAATTAACCCAGAAGCTGGTATCTAACAGCAGCTCTGGAAGTGGTGTCTGATGAGTGCCTGGATGTGGTGCAGGGCTGGGAGTGTGGCCAGCCAGCCTGCCTACCATCTGGTGAGAGTTTTGGGTAATTTTTTTCCTAAGTAAGTTTTCGGTAAAGTTTTTTCTTAAGTTTTTTCTTAAGTTTTCTGTAAAGTTTTTTTCCTAAGTTTTTGGTAAAGTTTTTTCTTAAGTTTTTTCTAAATTTTTTGGTAAAAATTTTTCTTAAGGTTTTGGTATAGTTTTTGGTAAAGTTTTTTCCTAAGTTTTT